TGGAAATAGCCAAGGGGCAGCAGCTCGGTTGGGAAGGAGAGCCGACCTCGCCTACCTGGGAGGTGGCCGAGGGGGGGCAGGATTCTGAAACTCCAGGCGCTCCTTCCCTCTTCCCCACAACTCCTCCGTTCCATCCGCCCCTACCCCATAACTCCCCTGTCCCGAGACAGGGATTGTTTGCGCCAGAAAGAAGCCACAGATGTGCGTCACTGGAGCAGCGGACGTGAAGAAACACCCCTCCAAAGACGGGCCTATTTTGTGGAAATTGTTCTGGTACAGAGAGCTGTCCTGCCGCCGTCAGGCCCCTCTGACCGCGAGCGATTGCAGCGCTGAGCCACTTCCGAGGGGTTTTGTTCCGCTCCCCCAGCGCCTGCAGCCACACGCGGGAACATCCGCTCCCTCCTTCTGACAACACCTCTGCTCTCGCTTCCTTCCTCTTGCCCAAGCCTGAACACTCATGCTGCAGGGGGAACCTACGCTCAGACCTCTGCTGAGACAGCTACGCGCCAGGAGCCCGAGCACGTGCAGGGCGCAGCGTCCCTTCCCCAGGGAGCCAGCCCGGACGCACGCAGAGAGCCAAGCGCCCAGGCCAGGACCCTGGCCCTAACCAGAACCTCTCCTTTCCGCGTTAAGAAATCCGGCAGGCCTCCTGGAGCAGGCTGCAGGTCAGCCTTCCCTCCTAGGTGTCGCCTGGGGCACCCAGGCTACCAACATGCCATCCGCTCTTGTTCAAGCCTCACCTGCTCAGGGTCTAAAAGCACGTGGCAGAAAGGCCAGGCCACTGAGGCCAAGGGCAAGTGAGGGAGGCCCTGCCAGACCCAAAGTCTCCCCTCCTCACCACAGGCGTTACCAGCCCCCCCCCCCACAAGACTTGGCACAGCTCCTCAGGGATGTGCAGACACCCCAGCCCACCCCTACCTGTCATCATCACTGTCATGGGCAGCCCCCATGCCGAACACCGACCGGGCCAGGCTGAAGCGGGCAGCGCCAAAGGGGTCCGAAGTTCTCCGGTGGGGGCTGGCATCTCGGAAGAGCAGGGGAGCCGGAGAGGATGGGCGCGAGCGGGTCTCTCTTGGCAAAACCTGGCAGGAGGGAGAAAGAGCTGAGCCCCCCAGGCTGGAGGGCCTCTCTAGGGCAGGGAGAATGGGGGATTGTCCAAGGTGAGCGAGAACCTTTTGCTTCTGGCCCCTTTTGGACAGGGGTTACAAGTGGGATGACCCAGCTGCTAGGAAGGGGAGAGGCCCAGGGTCACAGGGGCTCCCCCCGAGTTGGGTGTGAAGACAGGAGATGCCTGCGTGTGGTGGCCAGGGGGAAGACAGATGGATTTCGAGGAAGAGGCTGGTGGCG